ATCCGTCAAAATATCTTGTTCTGAAGCCGAGTTATCTGCCGGCCCGCAATCTGCCCAGGACGGCCTGTTTGCAACTATGAAAATAGGAGATTTTGACTCTTAGAGTACGCTTTTCCTCTCGAAAAATCGTTGTTTTCCAGAGCCAACAATTCGGATGGGCCAGCCAATGGACTCAGCCGGCATCGGCGACGTCGCAAGGAGCTGGAGGGGTAAGAAAGGTGAAAGTTGAGATTTTCAGCGATTTTTAGGCTTTTTTCAGTGTTTTAGTGGCAAAAATTAGCCGAAAAGGACTGTTTTTGACTCGAGTTTTGCGAATTTTAGGCCTCTTTTCCCTTAGTTTGTTGTTGGGAAAATGGGAATTTAACGGCTTCGACGTTTTTCGAAAGGCTTAAAATGGGCATAGAATGCTCAAAAATCGAGTTTTGGTTCATTTTTCCTGATTTTTGAACCACTTTTCATGAATTTTGAACCATTTTTCACGAATTTTGGGTCGTTTTTCATGAATTTTGGACGATTTTTCAGTATTTAGGACCATTTTTCCTGAATTTCGGTTTATATTTCATGAATTTCTTACTATTTACTATTTTTCACAAATTTCGCACCATTCTTAATGAATTTTCGGCTTTTTTTAAAATGAATTTTGAACCATTTTAATGAATTCTGAGCCATTTTTCATAAATTTCGGGTAATGTTTCATAAACTTTAGACGATTTTTTGAAATTTAGCGGGAAAAAATCGGCAAAAAGAAAATTTCAGAAGACTTTTCTAGAACCATTTTCTTCATTCTGTGTTTTTTCTTCTGAGCCTTTCAAGCAAATCCAGGAAAAATGACCCGAATTTCATGAAAAATCGACCAAAATTCATGAAAAACGACTTAAAATTCGTGAAAAATCGACCAAATTCATGAAAATGGTCTAAAATTCATAAAAAAATAAATGGGAATTCAGGAAAAATGGTCCTAAATTTTTGAAAAATCGACCAAAATTCATCAAAAAAGCCGAAAATTCAGGAAAAATGGTCCTAAATTCCTGAAAAATCGACCCGAAATTTATGAAAAATGGCTCCGAATTCATTAAAAATGGTTCAAAAACCACCCAAAATTCGTGAAAAAATGGACCAAAACTCAATTTTTGAGCATTCTAAGCCCATTTCAAGCCTTTTCCACATTTTCAGTACCCCCAGTACGTGTCTCAACACCAGCAACAAGCTCAACAACAGGCTCAACAGGCCTACGCGATGATGAATCCGTTGTCGCCGTTCATGCAGTCACAGCAGAAGCCGCAGCAGCAGCAGTTGCAGCTTCAACAGCAATTTCAGCAGCAGAAGGTATGACAAGGGGCGAAAATGGGTCAAAATCCATCTGAAGTGGCCCAAAATCCGCTTTAAATAGCTTTGAATCCGCCTAAAATAGCCCTAAATCCATCCATTTTGGACTATTTGCGCTTAATCAGGCTTAAAATCATCAAATGAGCGCACTTACTGAAAGACTTACTATAAGATGCCCTCCAGTGATAATTAGGCCGAAACTAGCTCTAAATTATGGAGCGCATTTGAAATAGTCTAGAACCCTCCAGATCTAGCTATAGCTCAATATAGCCTTAAATTATCAGTAGAGCGCGCTTACTTCGTCTAAAACCCTCCATAACTAGTTCTAGCTCAATCCAGCCTAAATTATCAGTGGAGAGCGCTTACTTAGTCTAAAAACCCTCCAGCACAACTAGTTCTAGCCCAATCTAGCCTTAAATTATCAGTGGAGCGCACTTGAAATAGTCTAGAATCCTCCAGATCTAGCTATAGCTCAATCTAGCTCTAAATCATCAGTGGAGCGCATTTGAAATGGTCTAGAACCGTCCAGAGCTAGCTATAGCTCAATCTAGCCTAAATTATCGGTAGAGTGCGCTTCCTTAGTCTAAAACCCTCCAGAACGAGTTCTAGCTCAATCAGCCTCAAATTAATTCCAGAAATTCGGTCAACACGGCCCAGTTGGAACCCCGAAGGCACCTGGAAGCCAACTCGGCGGCGCTTTTAATCCACGCGCTTTCGGAGCATTCGGAGCTGTCGGCGGCGGTGGCGATCGATCGACGTCGTCTGGCGGAATTCTGGGTCAAGAGTGGACCGGTGAAGCCGCCAATCAGTTTGGAATGCAGTCCCACTTGAGAACGTTTCCATCGAAGAGTGGCGGTGGTCCTGGTGGACATTCGAAGCCGAATTGGAGGGTTAGTGCGGGGGAAAATCGCTATTTTAGGGCAGAAAATCTCATTTTTCTAGCTAAAAAACTGGATTTTTGAGATGAAAATCACTATTTTTGACCTAAAATCCTTGAAATTCGACTTATAACATTTAAGTAACATGATTCTTAAAGTTGGAAATTCCAGCTCGAAAATCCCTTTTTTCAAACTCAAAATCGCTGGAAAATGGAGTTTTTCGGCTCTAAACCCCCTGAAATCCCAATTTCAAAGCCAAAAATATGTAATTCCAGCAACAAAAGCAGCAACGTCAGTCGGCCGGACCACCAGCGCCGAAAAAGACTGAGACTGCTGGAAAGACGCCGGCGATGATTCTTCATGAGGTTTTCAAGAGTATCACTGAGGAGTGAGTGGACATTTTTAAGCTGGAACTGAGAGAAATGGTCCCCAATTATTGATTTAGGCAAAATTTCAGCTGAAAATGATTGAATTTCGATGAAAAATGGTCCAAAATCCAGGAAAATAGACCCGAAATTCATGAAAAATTGTCTAAAATTTATGAAACATTACTCGAAATTTATGAAAAATAGCTCAGAATTCATTAAAAATGTTTCAAAATTCATTAAAAAAAGCCAAAAATTCATGAAAAATGGTCCAACATTCATGGGAAATGGTCCAAAATTCGTTTCAAATGGTCCAAATTTCATGAAAAATAGTCCGAAAAGCATGAAAAATGATTGAAAATCCATTCAAAAATCTATGGAAATTAGCTGGAAATTATCAAAAAAAAAAGTTCGTAAAAATCAATTTAAAATTGGCCTAAAATAGCTCAAGAACGTCTGAAATTCGCTCTGAGATTCGAAAATCTGAAACTTCCAGCTACTCGGAAGTCGAAGGAGCCGTTCCAAAGCGCTACATCTGCACACTCACCGTCAATGGCCGTCAATTCCAAATGGAATCGGCCAACAAGAAGGCGGCCAAGCAGAAGTGCGCTGAAGCCGTCGTCCGTGAGCTTCGTCCAGACCTCCATGTGACTCCATTCGAAGAAGGCGTCACGGCGAAGGCAACGCCACCAGCGCCACCAAAATCCGCTGCTGGAAACGGTCAACCCAACAAGAGAAATGTAGGTTTTTAGTGCTTTTTTTTTCAAATTTCCCGCCGAAAATTTTTTCTGAAAAAGCATGGAAATTGTGTGTGTGTGTAGATCTCGTTCAGTTTTCCTGCTATTTCCCTTCTCGAGATTTGATATGATATATCGCCAAAATTAGTCGTTTAAGGCCGAGGATCAGACAAATCAGCCAGCCGCCAAGAAGACTGCCGCGCCAGGAGCCGTGAAGAAGATTAAGGTGAGCAATACTTGAAAAACTAGCATCAAAATGGTAGATTTTGGCTGAAAATCGTGTATTTTATGCCAAAAACAGGGGCTTTTAGGCTGAAAATGGGGCATTTCAGACTAAAAATAGTGTATTTTAGGCGTCAATTTTATGGCTTAAAGGAGGCCAGACACCAAAAAAAAAGTTTTCCTGATATTTTGCCTAGAGAACCCCCATGAGGGGTTGAACTCATGACAGGCAGCTCAGGGGTACAGCGCTGCTACCGGCTGATCTACGGGGGCGCGAAGGCGCCTGACGACCGATGGTCTACATAAGCGCGGCGCGATTTCGTCCCCCGAATTTTTTGCCGTCTCGCCTCCTTTAAATTGATAGATCTGAAAATAGGCGCTATTTAAAGCTCAAAATTGAGCATATTTGGCTCTGGAATAGACAGTTTTAGACAAGCCGAAAATGGGGAATTTCAAAGCCAGGAATTGATAGTTGGATGTCTAAAAATCCATTATTTTAAGCTCAAATTGGACCAACTGAGAGAGCTGAAATTCACTATTTTTTGGCCCGAAAATTTGGCTATTTAGGGACCTCGATTAGCTATACATAAGCCCGAAAAAGGACCCCTAATACAACTAGTTTTTTCCAGCTCACCCCCGTCGAATCGGCTCAATCGCTGCTCGATTTCATGCAAAAAACGATTGCGGAATCCAAGGAGAAGTACACGCCAGTCTTTGAAGCCATCGAGCTGCCACGTGCCGAGGAAATGGTGGAAGTGAAGGCAGAAGACATGAAACAAGAGCCAACTGAAGTTACCGTAGATGAGAACGCTGAAGCGCCAGCCGCTGGAGCTAAAAGATCGAAAAAGGAGAAGGTTCGCAAGCCAGAAGTTCAGCATCAAGTCACCCTGAAGTTCTTGGAGCAAGGCAAAGAGTTCACCAAGACTGGACCGAATCGCGGAATGCTCAAGGACATGCTCATCCGAGAGGCTCTCCGGGAGGTGTTCAATGTGCCCCAAGAGGCGATTACCATAGTTGCCAGACGTCATGCTCTGAATCGTCTTGGCACTGATATGAACCTCGTTCAATGCCTCCAGACAATCGCTGGCGTGCTGAACTGCAAGGTCTCCTTGGACACTGAGCCGGCTGAAGATCGTCCGATTGGAGATGGAAAGATGTACTTTATGGGACGTGCCAAGATCATTGACCTGAACGAAGACGGCAAGGAATTTGAGACGAAATCGACGTCGGTTCCATCGAAGGCGTTGGCACGGGAGCACGCGGCGATGGAAATGCTCAAACAGTACTTTAAGATGGACACGGACAGTATTCAGACCAACGAGGCACATGGCAATAGCAGTGGACAGCAGGGACCGTGCGCGGTGCTTCACGCGATGATGAACAAGGCGACGAAGCAGCAGACCAAGATTGGCTATGAGTTTAAGGATAATGTGCCACCGGTCGCTGGAGCTGGATCGCCAGGACCAGTTTTTTAGTGAGTTTTGGACATTATTCTTGAATTTCGGGTCGTTTTTCATGAATTTCGGTTCGTTTTTCATGAATTTCGGGTCGTTTTTCATGAATTTCGGGTGGTTTTTCTTAAATTTCGGGTCGTTTTTCCTTGGATTCATGACCGTATTTCCGCTAGGCCACGGCCATCCGTGCGCCAGACCCTTGCATGAAATTCCATGCGCCTTTAATGTTGAAGCGAATTACGAGCTTGATTTATGATCTCGCCATCAATTCAATGGAATTGCCCGCGGTATGTCCGGGATATCAGGTTCCTGTGATAAAATAGAAGAAAATCAACAAGAAATGTAACAAAATCGGTTTATTATGAACAAGTTAGAAAGTTTTTAATTTAAGAAAACTCACTTAAAATCCTTAAAAGAGTCTCTAGCAAAACTACGAACCAAATCCAAGCTCGCGATCACTCAAAACTGATTTTAAATTGTGCGCGCGCCGAGCGGGATAGCGGAGTGTCGTTGCGTGGGTAGAGGGAACCTTTAGAAGGGGTTGGAGGGTAGCGCCCCAGGCAACTATGGCATTAAAGGCGCATGGAATTTCCGGCAAGGGTCTCGCGCGGATGGCCTAGTGGAAATGTGGCCTAAAACTCCGAGATTTGTTTTGAATGCTGCGGAGACCCTAAATCCCTAAATCCTTGGATCCTTAGATTCCTCGTCCCCCAGATTCTCAATTCCCTAGACCTTCCGATCCTCAAAACCCCCAAAATTTTTCAGCTGCGACTGTGTGATCGACGAGGAACGCTTCACCGGATCCGGCCGCTCCAAAAAGTTGGCCAAAAACGCGGCAGCCGTCGTCGCACTCAAACGAAAGTTCTCCGTCGACTACAACCCCGACGGCATGTGTCCACTGGCTCACAGCTCACGCCCGGAACGACAATGCTCACCGCTGTGCCGAGAGATCTCCGAGTTTTGTAAACGCGAATACTACGATATGACTCGTCACTACGGTGTCAATCAGAGCAATCAGATTGCGTGGTGAGTCTAATTTTTAGATTCTTAGATGCTTAGCTTCTTGGGATCGTTAGATTCTTAGGATCCTCAGATTCTTGGAATCCTTAGATTCTTGAAATCCTTAGATTCTTGGGATCCTCAGATTCCTGAATTAAGATCTAGCGATCTAAGAATACCTGGATATTTAGGTTCCTGGATCCCTGGATCTTCTGATTCCCGGATCTACTGATCCCTGGATCCTGAAATATTCAAAATCCCAAATTCCAGCTTCGTCCTAATCAACGATCGAAACGAGAAGCGCATCCTCTCCATAGGCTCATCGATCCAATACGTATGCGAACCGGACAGCCTGAACGGCGCCGACGGCAACCACATCGTCCACATGGACCCGATCGTTTTGGCTCGTCGTGGACTCATCCGTTCCATCTACCATGAGCTTCTGTACATGCCACCCGAGGGATCGGTGGTGTTCGAGAAGCAGCCAGATGGACGGTATGCGTTGAACAAGACGATGAAGTTGGTCCTCTATTCGAACTTCTCGCCAGCGTGCCGATTCTCGTGTGATGACGTGCCGAAGAAGAGCTTGTCCTATGTGACGTGAGTTTTCTGGGTCGAATTAGGTCCATAGAGGATCAAGATCCTCAGATCTTTAGATTCTTCGATCCTTGGAATCTAAGAATCTAAGGATCCTGAGAATCTAAGGATCGTAAGAATCCAAGAATCTAGGAATCTGAGAATCCAAGGATCTAAGAATCTAAGGATCGCAAGAATCCAAGAATCTAGAAATCTCCGAATCCAATTTATCTTTAGAATCTCCGAATCCAATTTATCAGCCTTTTTCCAGACCCCTGACCTGCAAACCAGTGCCAGAAGACGTCCTAACCCTCGACGAGATCCGCGAGAAGCGTGAAATCCGTATCCACTCGACAGCCGACAAACTGTTCAAATGGAACCATCTGGGTGTTCAAGGAGCCCTCCTCTCGCATGTCCTCCACCCTCTCTTCATCTCTCACATCTTCTTCGGTACCCAGGCTCCAGTCCCTGACGATTCTCTTAAATTCGCTCTTGTCAACCGCATCGGCCCCGTCGACGCCGGAGCAGACCACCAGGAGACCGAGCTGGAGAGTGTGCAAGGAAATATGGAAGTTTTCACGACGCGATACTCGCATGTCTGGTCGCGAGGACTCGATTTGATCGAGCAGCTGGATGTGAGCACTGGAAGGACCATCAATGGAATGCCGTCGTCGGTGTGCAAGGCGCAACTCTTTGCCAACTACTGTCAACTGCCACACGTCACACAGAAGGATGTGAATTATGGAAAGGAAAAGGAGGCGTCGAGTAACTATCAGTATGAGAAGAAGGTCTTGTATGAGAAGGTGAGCATTGAAATTTTTGGATTTTTTTTTCAAAAATGCGATTTTCGAGCTGAAAATTTGGAGTAAATGACTGAAAACCGTCATTTTGGAGCTTAAAAATCGCACATTTCAACTGAAAAACGGCTGAAAATAATGCTAAAAACGGCCTAAAATTATGCCAAAATTGGACATTTTTGACATGAAAACTTGAATTCCAACTGGAAGAAACAGTTAAAATTCGAATTTTGAGCCGGAAAATTGAGAAAAAAAGTCTGAAAATTCGATAATTTTAAAGCTGGAAAACTAGGATTTTCGAATTTTCGGGCTGCTGAAAATTTGAGAAAATGACTGGAAAATCGATAATTTTGAAGCTTAAAAATTGCGGTTTGAATTCAAAAAATCGCATTTTTCAACTGAAAACAAATGCTGAAAATCGGAAATTTTCGAATTCCAGCCGGACGAATAATCGAAAACTTTAGAAAAATTCGCCATTTTTTGACTCAAAAAATCGACTTTTTTTGACTGAAGAGGCTGCTAATTTTCAAATTTTTGCAGCTCGAAGCCGCCGGTCTCGGAAAATGGCAAACGAAGCCGATGGAGCTCGTCGACTCGTTCACCCTTCCAGCTTCCTTTAATTGAGAAATCGCTCCTCCGAATTTTAAAAATTCCAATTTTTTCGAAAAATTGAATTTTTAAAAAATTCAAAAATTCTCATTTTCATAATAATCTCCATCTTTGTTTTTTCCTTTCCCATTATGAATAAAATGCGCTCCATTGCTAATTTTTCAAAAAACTCGATTTTTTCGAAAATTCTCAATGGAGCGGATTTTCATTGTTTTTGAATTTTTCAAAAAATTTTAATTTCTCAACTCCCTTAAATTATTTCTCCATGATCTTGGTTTATTTCTCTGTTTCTCTAATTCTCCATGTTCAAAATGTGCTCCATTGCCAAATTTCAAAAAATTTGAATTTTTTGAAATTTTTCATCAATAGAGCGCATTTTCTGCTCTCTTCTCCTGTAATCTCTCCCCATGATCGAAATGCGCTCTATTGCTAATTTTAAAAAAAATCGAATTTTTTGAAAAATTTATCAATAGAGTGCATTTTCCTTCACAATCTAATGTAACAATTGAGCACAATTCGCGAAGATTAAACACTTTTTATACAGGAAAAATTGAATTTCAGTTCACTTTCTTATCCTCCTGAACACTTGATCCTTGTTTTCGGCCTGGAGCGGTTTTTACTGAAAATTCGAATTTTTAGAAAATTTTTTTTTTAATCCAAAAATTACCAATTTCAGTCTTTCCCTCCTTTTTCGCATTCATGCACAGTGTCAACATTACCGGACACTCCCTCTTTTTGTGCTCGGCGTGAAGATCGGTGACTGGAAATTTTCAGATTTTCAGAATTTTTTTTTAATTTTCTGATTTTTTACCTGTAACAATTACTCCCGTCTTCCACATGTTCTTGGTACAAAAATAGAGGAAGACGGCGGAGCCCAGGAAGCCCAGAACGCCATAGGCGATGGCCAGGCCGCGGATGAGTCTGAAAAAAGAGCTAAAAAATGAGAAAGAAAAGAAATGGACACAGAGGGGAGTCGGACCAACAAGTGGTGGAATGGTGCACAGAAGCTTACACCACTAGGCTACGCAGCGCCTGGTGGAAGAAGGAGCGGAGGGCGTAGAGAAGGGGGAGGGTGGTGGCGGCCGGAGAGATGAAGGGGGGGGGGGGGGGTATGGAGCGAGCGGTGGGAATTTGAAATAAATTTTTTTTGGAATTTCGAATTTTCAAAAATTGTATTTTTCAAAAAAAAATATTACCTCGTCGGCTCCACAATAAAAATGCGGATGGGTCGGAAGAGACGCTTTTTGTCGATGACTTCGGTGCCGTTCGCGAACCGTACGCCAACGATACGACGTTGAATGGGAACACCAATCCAGTCTTCGGATTCTCTGCAAAACATTTGGAAATGTTTTGGAAATTTTGGGAAATTTTGATTTTTGAATTTTTGAAAATCTTGAAAATCTTTCAAAATTTTGAAAATCAAAAAATTGGAAAGTTCTGAATTTCCGAATTTCTGAATTTCTGAATTTCCGAATTTCTGAATTTCTGAATTTCTGAATTTCTGAATTTCTGAATTTCTGAATTTCCGAATTTCTGAATTCCTGAATTTCCGAATTTCTGAATTTCCGAATTTCTGAATTTCTGAATTTCTGAATTTCTGAATTTCCGAATTTCTGAATTTCTGAATTTCCGAATTTCTGAATTTCCGAATTTCTGAATTTCTGAATTTCTGAATTTCCGAATTTCTGAATTTCTGAATTTCCGAATTTCTGAATTTTTGAAATTTTGGAAATATGAATATTCGAAATTCTGAGTTTTTAAACTTCAGAAAATTCACAAAATTCGATCTGGAAATTTCAGAAAGTTTTCTAAAAATCAATATTTTTGAAAATCAAAAATTCCAAAATTTCAAATTTTTGAAATTTAGAAAAAATGAAAACACCTGAAAATCCGAAATTCCAACAACAACAAGAAGTTTGAAAGACTCAGGAACTCGGAAATTCAGAAATTCCAAAAAATTCAGAAATTCCGAAAATTCAGGAATTCAGAAAATCTGAAATTCACAACTTTCTGGAATTCTGAAATTCAAAGATTCCAGCCAAATTCCATTCCAAAATTCCCACCTCTTGGGAACCATCGCAAAGTACTTCTTCATCTTTGGCCATGCCGTCAGTTTCGTCACATCGAAATCTTTCGGCCACGCGTCTTTGGTCCGGCCGGCCTCGGCGGTCGAGATGATTGTGATGAGTAGTACCACGACAAACGACACGAATTTCATCACTTCTTTTGAATGTCAAAGGCGCGAAATTTGAAAATTTGAATTTCAGACTTTTCAGTTTCAGACAAAGTTTTTGGCTGGAATTGTTGTACTTTCAGTTTTTAGGTGAATTTGAAAAGTTCACGGGAAAATTGAAATTTCCGGTTTTTATATTTTGGGTCCTGGGTCCTGGGTCCTGGGTCTGAAATTCTGAAGTTCCACAGCCCTGAATTTCTAAGAATCCCCCCCCC